CGGGAGCTCTAAAGTTCTTCCAAAGAGGGGAGAGGGCAACCAGTGATCCTCTGGGCAGTGGTGGTAACTAACGGGGAGTGTGCAAGAACATTTCTGGCTCTGCAGCGGTAGAGAGTCAGGAAGATGACCTTCAGGGAGACAGGCAAGAACCGTTACCTAAGCAAAAGGGGCTGAAACATTTTTTTAAGTCCTGAGAAATGAGATAACATTCAGAAGTGGCTCAGGCAGATTCCTCCTCCATTCCCTGAACGGTAAGAAGGAAGACTCAGCCAGACTTGCAGGAATCTGTTATTATAGCCAATCTCAAAAGCAGCTTCATTTGATGTCATGGTCTGGCCTACCAAGGGGGCTGACAGCAGCTGGGATGGGGGTAGGGGTGGGGTGGGGCAGCATTTTCATCTGCCTTTCAAACAGGGCACTCATGAATCATGGTCTGGAAAACGTGCTGCGGTTCTAAAGGTCGACAAGCAATACCATCATTTTCGGCAGAACTGAGCGCTCCCCACCTCCCCCGGCCTTCGACGTTTGTAGGAATCCTCCATTGAACGTGGTGAGGGGCTGAGAGAGGCTGAGCCAAACTGAAGCAGCAGCTGCACTCAAGAAGCCAGCACCTAGGAAACAACCCCGTGGTGCTCTCTTGCTGAGTGTGTTCAAACAAAAGGGAGACAGCTTGAAAAAAGGAATGACCTCAATCCATGCTTCTGGGACAGAGGAGAGGCCACTTAAAACACGGAGAGAAAAGAAAGGAAGGAAGGAAAGGAAGGTAGGAAACACAGCTATGCTTCAGAGAAAAAATGTGAAGATTTAAAACGTTGCTGGGGACAAAGAGACGCATCTCTGAATGTAAGTTTCTCTAGCATTATGCATTTCAACCCAGGAAGGCACTTTTGGACAAAGCTAGGGTGGGAGTAAGTATCTTTTCCCCCATGTTGTAGTCTGGATGAAGATCCCTGTATTTTCTCCAAGAGAGAAGCTGCTTTGAAAGGAGACAACCCCAATGGGACCACAAGATAGCAGTGAGGACATTAGCTTGTACCTTGGTTCCAACTGGACAGAGTAGTTCCTCAAGATATGTATTCGTACGCTGGCATAAAAACAAATCAAGGGCGCTAAAGATACCTGCAGTGATGGGCACGTTCTGGCTTCACGCTGCAACACTTGGGACACTTGTAGATGACTTCACCTGGTTTCAGCTGCAAACTCTCCATGTACTCTTTTGTAGCATTTCCTTTGGGAACAGCACCCTAAAAAGTCAGAAAGACCAAACTCAGTGATCCAGGATGAGGCTATTTATTTATAGTGGACTCCCTGATCTCAGGTTCTCCAAATAGGCTGCACTTCAATTCCCAGAATCCCCAAGGCTGTGATGGCTGTGGGATTATAGGGAGCGTGAACCCACATGGTTGAGAAAGAGTCCTCGGCATGGCACCCAAGACGGTTGGCCACTTTACTCACTGGATCCGTCAGCATCGTTCTTAGGTGAGAAGACAAAGCAAGCACAGCCAAGCAGTTGAAGAGGACCCCATTGACCAGGGAGTACCAGAAGTCTTTGGAAGGCAGCAGCATGACAAAGGTGACCACAAAATCTGCGTAGACCACGAGAAGCCAGGTCATCACGGCACAGACCATCCCGCAGCTGTCACGGATGAACCAGACGCGATCTCCCACGTCACACTCGGAGGACGACGAATCGTAGCAGTCATTTTCAGCAAGCAGCGGGTGATGCTCAACTTCACGCAACCTATGCCCAGATGACTGCATGATTTTCTGGACTGGCCCTGTGGAAAAATAACAAATGGGTAGCTGTGTACCAAGGCCCCCAGACACCACAGATGTCATCTTCTATTATCAAGGGGTGGAAACCAATCTTGGGGCACAGCTTGCATTTCCCAAAACAATTTTTTTCCCAGGGAAAAGGAATTTAATAAGAGACTAAAGCAGAAGACTGAGATAGAATTGCAACCCAGAGTCCCTTTGACAAAAGAGGCACCCATATCAATTGAAATAAAGCCATAAATATCTGGAAGAACCCAATATTTTTCCTTTTTTAGAAAAATAAAGTTACAGCTGTTAGAACATGTATGTCACTAGCCTGTTATGGCCAATTCCAGCCATCAAATCATTTTGGCATCCAGTGGAGGGGAGTGGCTTGAACAGCATTTCCGTTATAATTTTAAGTCACTTTGCTTTTAATCGATTCTTTAATACCTCTTTTTGCTCTCTCTCAGCCCTAGGGAAGCCCCCCTTTTTTCTCCTGCAGGATTTTCTGCCTATTTTCCTCTTTTATTGGATCTGAATTGACTCCAGTCTCTACACTTACAGACATTTACATCTCTTCCCACATTTTCCCTTGCTTTCCATCTACAGGTTTTTCTGAAGCTTCTTTCTCAGCTACCTCTCCTTTCTCCATAAAAACAAAAGTCTGCAAGGTGTGAAATTCCCCAAAGAGACAAGGATGCTTCTGTAGACTCCTTCATGGGCCAATCTTGAGCCTATTACAGAAGACAAGCAAATTAGACCAGGTGGAGTGGGTATCTGCTCTTGGACTCACTAAAAACTAACATAATTACATTAAATACGTCTCAAATAAATTCTAAGTGTCATTAAAGATTACAAAAACTTGGAAGCAGGGCAGAACACAGTAACAGACCTAACAGTCCATTCTATTCAAATTTAATCCAGGCAAGTCAAATGCAGTGGGAAGTACTCCAGAATCAGTGTGCCCAAGGTTGACCTTAACAGACACAGCACCAAATATTTAAGATCCCAAGGGTCAGATTGTGGTTTTTTTCATATTAGCTGCCTGCATATGATAAGAACTTCCAGAAGTCCCCAAGTCAGCTCTTGACTCTGCAACCAGGTGACTTAAGCCAGATTTCCCCAAGATGGTGGCCTGCAGATGAATTAGAACTGCCACTTCCAGAACATCCAGCCAGCATGGCCAAACCACTCTCTTGGCTTCATTTTCATATCTGCGACACGAGGCCAGTTATCCTAGGGTTATCTTACAGAATCCTTGGATCCCTGCCCCTCATGGTTAATTATGATCGGCTTTCAACATCCACAGCGCAGGAGGAAGGCATGCTGTGATTAATACATTTGATACAGTATTGGGTTTATTTTATGGGTGGGCTTATTATTTTATTATTTTGGAGAGGAGTGGGGTTGCTCAGTGATGTTTTGGATTCTTAGCTGTCCAAAACTTTCTGGAATCAGTGGCGCAGAAATAAAGCAAGCCCATAAATAAATATGATGTGTCAAGAATTTGCAATATTCAAAAGCGGTCTGCAAACTATCTGATGCAGATCACAAATCAAACATCTGCTCCTATGAGGATGGAAGAACAACTGATCTCACAAGGTTCACGAAAGCAGAGAGAATCACTAAAGTACTCAGCTGAAAAGAAAGAGACAAAGAGACAAAGACATGAAAAGAGTGGGGAAGAGGTTCACCATACCACACCACAATATCCAGATCTCTGCAAGGCGTTTTAATAAATGCTTGCAGCCAGTCATCTAATCCCAGGAACGGTTTCCTCACCATGTCTGGCTCCTCAAAAACAATCCTTGGAGAGAGAGATTCTCAAAACTAAAGGAGTAACACCATCCTTCCACCCTGAGAACTGTTCATAGTACAGGGTAGGTTTCAGAACTCTCAAAATGGGCTGATTTGACCACCTCAATTCCAAATTAATTGGTTTGAAATTCATGTTTCTGAACCAGCATAGCAACGGATGTCATTACAAAGCATTCTGGCTGCAAGTAAAGACAGCTCGTTATGCAACCTACAAAAATTGGAAGCTGGTTACAGAGAGTCAAACCAATTCTTCCACCTCATTCCTTGTTAGTTTCCCAGGGTTTCAGAAAGAAGACATTACAGTCCTATCCAGAGTCGAGAAGATGTGGCCTTTCACATTATCCGTTCACACACCATTAACCATCCCTGGAAGCATAATTTGAGCAGCCCAAGTGCCTTTTCCAGTGTAGACCTCAATCTCCTTGCAGTCAAGTGATAGATTTCTCTTCAAAAAAGGTGGCTTACGTTGCTTAAGTTACAGGCAAGCAGGAAATAAGAAATTCAGGATCATCTGTGCTAACTAATTTCCTGGTTGCTAGTATGAAGTTGCCTCTTTCGTTTCTTCAAATCCTTTCCTCAAATTCATGTTAAGGCATCAGCACAAACTTTTAGTTTCCATGTCCTCCCAAAACACAATCCAGCCATAGCATATGACTGAAATAAAAATAAAATAAAAGTCTCCCCGTCTTTATCACTGCTCCCTTTTCTCACAGTTCTTCTGGATCGGCTTCTTAACTGTAAGGCCCTTGTCTCCACTTACACTTAGTATAACAGGGTGCTCAAGAGATCCTCTTCCTCCTCCTTGATTGATCAATCACTGGGCTTCTGTTGTTTAATGCTGCTTGCGTAGGCCTGAATATCTTTGGCTGTACTAAATGAGATTACCTTTTAAATTAGTTGCTTTCATATGGGAACCAAGTATGATTTCTTTTTCAAAAAATCAGCCTTCAGGGAATCAAAAGTTCCGCTTCCGATCCGTCTTTTGCTCCTTGTTTGCCTGGCCAGCCTGCTCTTCTCCTTGCACATAGAGGATTTTTGCTTTGCTGGTGGGAACATTTGCTGAACCACGTTTGGTGTCTTGAGTGAAGCTCTAACAAGCTTCACTGAGGCATAAACTGCCTCATTAAATCAAGGCTCGCTGGGAAAGGAGGAGGCCCCAGTGAGCTCCCAACTATTTGAACAGAAAATCAAAGTATTATGAACAGCTGCAGTGCAATCCTCTAAAATGCCAGGAATAGCAAAAAATCCTAGACACGCTTTTCATCCTAAAATCCCTATTGATTCAGTGCTATTACAGCCAATGGCAAAGAGCAACTCTGAAAGCACTTTATTGATTTGGCGATATCTGAGCAGATGATTCTCTGTTTCCCCGCAAATGACAGCTTCCTTTCCCCTACAAACCAGCATACTTGCTTGCAGTTTTAGAGGCACGTTCACCAGTTTGAATATTATCCTTGATTTATCACAAATCAAGGCGTGAACCTGGGCCATGCAAACTGAACAAAACAAGGACAGAAGGAAAATAGGACCGCTTCTACATCCTCTTCCTCGCTGCTACTATAAATAGGGAACAAAGCTGCCGTGAAGAGGCCCAGCAGATACAAGGTGGATGTGAAAGTCAGTAATGCAAACACTGCCTCACAGGAGAAAACTGACTCGGTTGCTTTAGGTGAGGCTCATAAAAGCGAGAAAGGAGCAGGCTCAAGACACAGTTAAACTAGTCAAGGTAGACTAAAGTTTGTGGAAAGCTGTTTCCAATACTGAAGAGATAATTTAACCGATATTTCCTGACAGTTTAACCCATTTTAAAAGGCCAGCTACCAGCCAGAATTACTCAGGTCCTCCATAAAGCCTGCAGAATCTACAGTGTAGTTGGAATGGAACTGGGTCTAAGTTCAGAGTAGGAAACTGAAGATCAGAAATGCCTTAAAGATGGAGAGAGTGGCCTTTCTCTTCTTCTATTCCGCCCTCCTTGCAACATCGGGGTCAGAAGAGGACGTCCCAATTTCCAAAAACGTTCTGCAAACTGTATCTGCCTCTATTCAAGAGTCACTTTGTATGAGATGGGCAGCTATATCAATGTGATATATCAATCAATCAATCAATCAATCAATCAAAAGCCCACTAGGTAGAAAGGAAAAGGGAGACACCAGAAACAGATGGAAAAAGAGATTAGAGAGAAAGGAGAGTATGAAAGAATTGTTCTATTAACATTCGCTATATCGGAAAGTGGATTACTAGATCAAATCAATTAACTGCTGTGGGAGCTCAACATCCTGGGTCAATGGAATGGGTCAGACACAGGTCAGGTTTCTTTATTCTTGGCTTACATAATGGACAAACCTACTTGTGAGGGCTTGGCGAAAGCTTTAAAAAAAGCACACCTTCAGCTTGGTGCTATATCAAAGAGCTTTGAGAAGCCTCAACATTATATATTTCCTTTCCTTTCCTACCTACCTTATATGACTGACATATGATCCTGGTCTGTGGCAAATGGTTGTTTCACTCAAACGGGTGAACAAATCAGGATCCAGTCAGGCTTTATGTCTGAACCACCCCGATGCTTAAGATCCTTAGGAATCCAACTGAAAAAGTACACTCTGCAGCAGTATAATATCCAATCTTGATGTTGTCTTTGGAAAATAATCAATAATACACACAATATCCTAACAATGACTTGATTACTGTAGGGAAATGGAAAGCTTCAGTTCAGAGCTTCATCTGCGGAGCAACTCTCTACAGCAAAAACCTGGTTCTGCTTTTTCAAAGATGTGAAAGTTAAAAGACTAATTGTTAGGTAGGGGGAAGGAAAGACCGCATAAATGGGTGTGACTTGTTGAAAACCAAAAAATGTGATCAAACATTAGACTGGGAAAAAAAAATCACTCAAACCTCACACTGATGCAGACAGCTTTCACATAAAGGATCTCTTTCAAACCACAAATCTTTTAGACAGAGCTCAATTGTTTTTGCAGCTTTATAAAGTTGCCTATATTAATCTTCCCCAACGTGGTGCCCTTCAAGTATACTGCATTGCAGTTCATGCATATCCTAGCCCGCACACTCTTAGCCAAGACCAAGGGAGTTCAATCGCGTCTATTGATGGCAGATACAACACTTTTAACTTCGGACTTCAAGTCTGTTTCTTCAGGCACTACAATATCAAATAAGCACATTTTGTCATTTGCTACATAAAGGCAGTAACTATAGGACACAGGATGGTGGAGGAGTGACCAGTAAGATGCAGCCTCGGCTTAAAATATTAACAGTACAAATAGTTCAGCTCATATAAACAGAGAAATGCCAGTCAAGTACTCATCCTATGAATAATGTGAACTCTTGATGCCTACCTGCTGAAAATACATCTCCCCCCATGAGAAGCTGCGATTTAAAAAACAGCCTAGTCATGTGTGCATGGCAACTAGCCACAAAAATCGGTCAATCTCACTTCCCTAAACTGCCTATCTGGTGGAAGAGACTCCCACAGCTTTCTAATTGAACAGTTGCGGCTGGTTCACAAACTTCACAACTCTGTCTTTACACACTTGCGGCTTTGCCTTTGCCCACCTGAAGAAAGTTTGTAAATGGGACCTGGGTAAGAGGTGTAGAGATCTCTAAGGGGGGATGTTTCTAATGGCAACCTACTCTGAATCCACAGGGAACAAGCAGGGTGAAGAATCCAGAATGCATACATACCTGTCAAGGACAACTGTTAGTCTGACATCTTGCTATTCCTTTGGACTTCTAAGATGCACACGGTCATATTTGGTGTAACCTGCACAAGCATAATAAAACCGCTGGTTGGTCACAGTCAGAACAGCCTGAGGGAAAACAGAGCGGAGCGTCACCTGGAAAAGACCAACCATCTGCCGAACATGAAAGCGTATGCCCATTTCAGAAGCACTTTTGACCTCTGGCTCACTTATCAAGTTCAAGCATCTCCCTTTCTCTGGATTGAATCCTGAATCTCTAGGAAAAGGAAAGAGATGGTGAGAGAGGCTTTTCATTCCTCCGAGGAGAGGCTGCGGTTAACAGACAGCGTTATCTGCCGTCAGCTGTTTCAGGAAGTGTCGAATTCAGGCCATTTGCCCTGCTCACTTGTTGACCAGCTGTCTGCAGGCCATTTCCATATTCCTCTTCCAGAGGGTTATGACCCATTTGGAAGACAGAATACATTCTGTCCATGGGCTGCACTGGAAGACGCTCTTCAACTTGCAACTGATGCAAAATATGGTAGCTAGAATGACTTGGAACAATTTTTGTCAGGGTTAAAACTTCTACTTCTCTGTCTTCAGGTATTATTCATCGGCTTGAGGCTGGCTTTTAAAGGCTTGGGACTTGGGTCCCTAAAGGTTGTTTCTGTTACATGAAATATATCCCTCTCTGGTTAAATGAGGTTAGACATTTCTTTCCAGGGCATTTGTGGTACTTTTTTTCCCCAGAAGTTGCTTTGTCAGTCACCAGCTCTGTTCAGTTTTAGGTGCTAAGCTATTATTTTATCTCCCATGCTATCAACTACGCTGCAAATTTAATTTCACTTCTGAGTTATTGTAGCATATATATTTTTACCATGTTATTATTCCTCTTTTGCTATTTTTAACAGATATCTGTGGGTTCTGGTTTATTGATTTTTGCCATTAATGTTTTATTTGATTTACTTTTATCTTATTCTAAGTGGAAAATCTAAAGCAACCTAAAATGTAGGAGAATGCAGAGTCCGTTACATAGCCAAAATCCCAGGGTTTACATGGAAAAGGAAGATGACAGCAGATCCAAGGGGAATTGCTAGTTGAGGGCAAATGCAGAGAAGAGAAGAGAAGAGAAGAGAAGAGAAGAGAAGAGAAGAGAAGAGAAGAGAAGAGAAGAGAAGAGAAGAGAAGAGAAGAGATCAT